TCTACATTACCAGGTAGATCTTCCAATCCTCTTCCCAGATTTTCTACTTTGCCTAACATATATTTAATATCTGAAAATTCTTGTTGCCTGCTCTTTAAAGTTCTCAAGAAACAGCACTAGATAGGAGAAACCTCCTTTTGAGTTGCTGGCCCGTGTAGTCCAAGAGACTCCCACAATTACATAGGCTATTGCCACAGCTCTTGACTGACCTCTCAGAACCTGAAAGTAAGACCCTATTGCTGAAGACAGGTCATACTTCGGACATAGGACTTGGGAGCAATGGAGCTGGAAGTGACCTGGAAGCCACCTCCCTGAAGGCTAGGTTTGATAGTTTTGGAGGACACTATAAAAGCTGCTAAGGGAGAACATCAATCAATGGTCCAACCCCAACTTTAAGATCTAATAACCACAACAATGACTGGCACAGCCAACTACCTTGAGGCAGTAGTGGCACTGTTTTCTTGGGGGTAATCAGCCGCCTAATTGGACTTAAAGTCCACTCAATGGGAGGAAACTCATGTCTGGTACTGTAAACATAGCCAAATACACATTGCTGGAGAGGTCATAGATCTCTCCCTAAGGCTGTCACATCCCTAGACAAATCTATTTCTTACTATATGCTAAATATGGATCCTTAAATTTACAGACAAGTATCCCAGGCACCACTCATCAAAGAAGCTTCTTTTGCAACAAACAAGTCTATTACAGAGTTCCACAACTTGTCACACACAGAGATAAGTTTCTGTAAAATGTGCAACCCTAAGAGATAATCTACAATGGAACCTCTACACCTAAGGCTCACAGAACATGGTGGAACAAAGGGTAAGGAGAATACTAATGCATCTCTTAACTCTCATCAACAAAGCTCCCTCATGCAACAGAAGGCAATGAAAAGAAAAAGCCACAAACGGCCAAAGTGTAGAGAATAAGAGTCTGCAGAGTGTGGGTCCTTGGACAGGACTCCTATATCTAACTTCACCCACCCAGGACTCAGGGACCATTTCGGAAGAGGGGGCAGAAAGATTGTAAAAGCCAGGGGAGTTGGTGCATGATGATATGGAAATAGTCTTACAGGCTCCTGGGACCTTGCTCATATGAACCTACGTCAATGGTGTCAGCATGCACAAGACCCATGCAAACTCAAGCAGACAAAAACCCAGCATAGAACTGGGGAAATGGGTAGTATGCCCCAACCTTAGCCAAAAAACTATTGGCAGGTGATCACTGCTGGGTGAGAGAAGCTGATCTTTTTTAAAGGAGCAACTCTAGATAGGCTGACTAGACCCCAGTGGATGAACTTGCATTGGGGGATGTCCGGGTACACTACCTTGACTCAATAGGCCATAACATAAACGACAGAATATATGAAGTCCAGTAAGGGGAGGGAGTTATGGGAGGGTGTAGATGGGGGAGAAGGTATAAAGATGATTAGGATGTTTTTTATGAACTACACAAAAATTAAATAAAAAATATGCCAAAGGCTCCTTTGAAGCACCTAGCACTTTCTTAGCTGAGGACATACTATTTTCTCTGTTCGCAGCATTGCCTGTGTCCTATGTGTTGTCTGTATTGTTCTCTTTGCTTCATTTTAGAAGTTTTCTTCCAGAATCAGATTACACGTTCATGCTTTATCTTGGTTAAGAGTGAATCAGGAAAAACTCATTCACAGCTTTGGAGATGGCTTGTAAGGGGGTCACACTGCGTGTCAGTGTTGTTTTGGAGAATTTTTATGGCAAGGGGTCACCAAGTCTCTACAGGTTTTCTCTCAGGTAGCTCCCTTTCAGCTCAGGACACTCCAGCAATCCTGGGAAGGGGGTGGGGCGGTGAGGCTGCCAATGTGCTGGAGCTGACCGAGAATAGAAAACTAGAAGTTTCACTGCTCAGAGGCAGAATATCCTTTAATCTCCTAGTTACCAAATCTATTTCCTGCCCTAACTTTTTTAGTATTCGGTGTCCTTAGGTACAGAAAGCCTCTGGTGCTTCTCCAGAGACAGGTGCACAGGTAGGGGCAATGGTTCCGGGTAAGACAAGGCTTGGAGGGTCTATCTAGTCCTCCTAAAGACAAGAACTCATGCATCATTCTGCACTGCTTTCTTCCTAAGCCTTCCTGGAACTGGGATAAGTCAGCTTGCTTCCATGTCTGTCTCCTTTCATGGGTACTTAGCTTTGACCTTTCTCCATTCTGCTAAGTCATGCACTGTTCTTCCATCTACTTGCCATCTTTGTTTCTGTGGTTTCAGGTTATTTATGTCTCTGGTTTATCAAAGAGAGAGCCTTGCATTTCCTTTTCTCAATTTTCCCTGTTTGGGATGACTTCTGAAAAAAGATTGAGCGCAGGACAGGGAAAGAAAGAGTGGGTGTGCCTTTATTCTAACATCTTGAAACCAGAAGAGTCTACTCCCTCTTCTGTCTCATGAGGATTTTATGACCCCATTCTCTTCGCTACCATGACCACTGCACTTCTGCTTCCCAGATTTTGTGTGTGACTATGCATTTTGTCTTACTAACTTCTAACTAAAAACTTCAAGACATTAACAAATTAATAACTTCCATATCTATTTGTAGTAATTATAACTAAACAGGGTATACTTAGCCATCAACCTCGTGTGGGACCTGGTATCCTTCTGATATATGCTAATCCCTGTTTGCCCCAAGTCCCACCATTCTCTCTGCCCCAGGAGACTGGCCTCTGTGAATGACTCCCTCATTCATGTCCACCCAGTGGCCTCTGTGGATGACTCCCCATTCATGTCTACCCAGTGGCTTCTGTGGCTGACTCCCCATTCATGTCTACTCAGTGGCCTCTGTGGACGATTCCTCCATTCATGTCTAACCAATGACCTCTGTGGATGATTCCCCCACTCATGTCCAACCAGTGACCTCTGTGGATGATTCCCCACTCATGTCCAACCAGTAACCTCTGTGGATGATTCCCCCACTCATGCCCACCCAGTAGCCTCTGTGGACGATTCCTCCATTCATGTCCACTCAGTGTTATTCCCATCCATGTCACTTTTCATTCCCTTGTGTTCCTAGATTTCTGGCAAAGCTGCTCCAAAGCTGCAGCTCCTAACATGGAGCTTCTAGCTTCTTAAACGAACTCTTCTTGGGTGGCTCCTTAGCTTTGTACCTCTGTAAACACCCTCTTTACTAAACTCTTCAGCTGTATCCTGTGTGTCATTCATTTCTTACCAGGGCACTAACTGATATGTAAATAAAAAAGATTTTGAACCAGCACATGTCTACAGAACCTTGAATTCTTATGCTTGTGATTTTATAAGAGTGACATATACCGTTGGCACTTAGTTTTTTTAATATTTTATTTTATGTATATTAGTGTATTGCCTGCATATAAGTATACCCGTGTCATGCGATGCCTGAGGAGGTTAGAAGAGAGCGTTGGATTCCCTGGAACTGGAGTTTTGGACAATTGTTAGCTGCCATGTGGGTGCTAGCAATCGAACCTGGGTCCTCTGCAAGAGCAGTCAGTGCTCTTAACTGCTGAGTCATCTCTCCAGCCCCACAGTTGGCACTTAAAAACTCTGAGAAAATTACATACTTCCTTTCAATCAATATTCTGTCTTGCTCCAGCAAGAAAATAAACCAACAACAAAAACAAACTTCTCCATAAAATTATGCTTCCCTAGAAAATATAAATGCAAGTACCAACAGCACAACTTAGACTATCAAGGAAAGTCAGGACATATATATTCCCTTCATGCTAAAAGCACTGGAATCAGTTCAGATTAAAAATATGTATTTTCTATTTTTTAATTTTGTAAATAGAGACACCTAAATTTAATTTTAAAAGTTCAAGTGTTTTTATTTTATCTTCTTTCTCTTTTCCCTTAGATATTCATATCAGGGTCAGAAAAATACAGCAAATAGCTTCATCAATCCTCCCATTAAAAAAGAAACGAATCCCTTGACTTTGGACCTCCCTCTAGATGTCAGATTTTCTCTTGCTTACGCACTGCCAAACTGTTTTCACCTGACAAACTTTTCCACGTTCCCGCCTCTCATAGACTCTTCACCCCATTCCTGTCTTACAGGTTCCCTTTTGTGGGTGTGTAACATGCATTCCCCTGAGGCCTTCTTAACCCCTTGGCAGCAGCTGACTGCCATTCACTTCAGGCCATCTCCTCGCCTTGGCTGCTGCTCGCCTTTCTGCTTCTCTGCCTCCCTGGGCTGCTCTTTAGTCTCTTCAATAAACAGCTCTTCCACACATTCTCCAGATGTTCTTCTTCACCTGTGTTCTGTCCTAGTCTTCTCTGCCTTTCTACCTACAATGGATGTCTTCACCTTCTCTAGAGACCCCCAAAGCCAGTAATGGCTGGATAGGGTAGCTCAGGCCTTTATTCCTGCACTTAGGAGACTGAGATAGGAGGAGGACTACAATGTTTGAGGACAGCCTAGAATACATGAGACCCTGTCTCAAAAATAACAAATAATGGCTTGGATATGAAGTCTTTCCCCAAAGGCTCATGTGTTGAAGGTTTAATCCCCAGTGGGGGCATTTCTGAGAGGTGACTGGATCATGAAGTGCTAACCAGATCAACAGATTCATACACTGATGAGTTCATAGCTGAATAGGCTATTAACAGGAGGAACCTAGAAGAGGAAGTGAATCACTGGGGGCACGAATTTCAATACACTATTTTGCCACCAGTCTCTAACTCTGTCTCTCTGTCTCTCCCTCCCCCCTCTCTGTGAACAGCTTTGTTCCATCCCGCCCTCTGCTCCATCTCTCCGTCCCTGCTCCATCTCGACCTCCTTGCTCTCTTTGACATGATGCTCTCCCCTGACAGCGACCTATAACAATGGAGCCAAACATGGACTGAAACCACTGAAACTGAGCCAAAGTCAATCTTTTCTCCTTTACGTTGTTTATCTTAGGTATTTTGTCATAGCAACAGGTAGACTGACAACCGAAAACAATTGTTAAACCAACTATCAGATCATAAGAAGATTTTGTGGTGTTCACTGTCAGAGGTGCTTACCTTGGATAGGTTCATTCCCAGCACGATGAGTGTCACTAAGCCAGCACAACAGACCAGAGCACTGGAGCTTGACAGGCCAGAACTTGGGGGTATGTTTCCATCCACCAGGCAGTTCATTCCAGTCAGCTTACTAATACCAAAGTGCTCCTAAGAATGTTAAAAAAAAAAAAAAAGCAACAGTCATTCCAGTGTTGGACTCAAGAAGCAGGAAGACCTTCCACTCCCTGGAGGGCTGGGGGTTATCAACAGACTTAAAGCATTTATGGAAACTAGCTATGTAATATGACTTAGTGGAAACTATACATGGCTCTTGCCTATACAGTGAGATAATCTGAAGATTTTTACTTTTTTCAACAAAAACCTACTGATTCATTTCCTAAAATTGCCTTGAATGTTCTTTTTCTTGAGTATTAATTGACTTGAACAAGTATAGAACAACGACAAAGCAATTAAAATCAACATGTCAAACAAGACAAGAGCTACACAATACCAGAAAAGTGGCCTAAAGCTCTGTGCAGCAGCCCTCCGACACTGCTATGAAAGTCTAATTCCAAGCCTGGCTTCCACCACGTGTCTTGCTTCAGGCCCTCTGAAGAAAACGAATTCCAAACTTTCCCAACTCTGTTTTACATACAGAAAACCCTGAGCATAAGGAGATTAAAAGACTTTCTTAAGATCACACAGAGCAAGCTGGGAGTAAGACCCAGGTCTCTGAGTCCCAGTGGATTCACTACAATGTGAAGCCTGGGCAGGGCAGCACAGTGTCTCCATGAGTTAATGTAAATCAGCTATATGAGGAAATTTGGAGGTTTACTGGTTATAGGTATAATTTAGTCATCTGGTAACTTTAAGGACAGTCAAATTAGCATTCACCTATTAAGAAGACTGAAGGCCCCAACAAGGTAGGAAAGCTTTCTACAAACAGGAAAGCTAAATAAATAACCATATTCTGAATTTAAAATAGAAAATGCTAACATTTAAATCAATATCTAAGACTAGGACTTTTGGGTTGATATCATATTATAACCTTTGTAGTTTAGGATTGAAAATAAATCCAACATTCCCTCCTCCTCAAGGAAAAGTACGATCATCTTCATAAACTAAACAAGTCAAGACCAAAGTATGAAAAACTATTGCATTATCTAATTACACATTTCATCATACATATTATTCGAGGGAGAATTTCAATAAACGAGTTAGAATAATCAAAATAATAACAAAACTTTGCAAATAAAAGACTGGCTTTGTCCTTAATTTGTTGTCCTTTTTTTCCCTTGGCAATACACAAACACCACAAAAGAAGAGATTCCATTGGATGAACTTCTCCTTGATTTCAGACATCTAAAAATTTCCTTCCAGAAATACAAACAAATTATAAACTGAAATTTCGCTGTCAATGTCCTTTCACACAGCAGGCAGCTTGTTTAAAAAAACTCTTGGAGAAGACTATATATTTAACTATAAACTAATCCACAGAGTATCTTGAATGTGAATTGTACTTACAAACTTATCACGCAATGTTTAAGTTAAAAAATAACAACAGCTTTAAAAACATAAATGGACTGTGCCAAACTCTACAATAACTCTATGCCAAAAGGATAGCATGTTCAATTTCATATTAAACAGATTAGCCCCTGGAAATTTCTAGTATTTTAATTTGAAGGTTTCTGGGCTGGCTAACATTTAAATTACTTTTCTGCCAAAAGTTCATTGTACAAACCTATGTTTTTGCACATAAGTCGTCAAACCAAAAAGGAAGGCCTTAAGCCCTAACAGGCTCAAAAGCAATACAAGACAACGTGCATCATATAGCTCATTTTAGCATATAGTGCAAAAGGGCATGCTGTTTCAAGAAAGGTCAAACTGCATTTGCCAGACAAATGCTTCCAAATACTGTAATTCCCACTGATGTGTATGACAATCCAGATGATGTGAAGATTTAAAACCTGCCAATAATTTTTCCCAGAAGTGATTACCATGTGTCTGGGAGAAAGACACATTCCCAAGGAAGAAATGAATGTTGCACTCCTAGACCAGACCTCCACGAAAGGAGCACAGGGCCGCATATCCTAATAACTGACACATTTCTGCAGTGACTAGATCACCATTCACAGTGACTAGGTCACCATTCATAACAGTTTTGAATGGACCACCAGGCCATTCACAAGCTAAGAAGCAACAACAAAACAAAGTAAAAATATTGCTTATGGGTTTTCTTTTGACTCACAAACGCAGAATGTACTTCTTAGTATCCTTTACCTATGATTTGCTACAAGAATCATACAAATAGACTGTGCTAACTTTAAAGATTATCCACCAAAAGAAGGAAACATGGTTCTGAAAACCGAAAATACTGATTTTGTTTGTGCTTTATACATTTTAAATATGAAAGTGGAAATATTTCATTTTCCTGTTTTGTACACATTAGGTTTTTAAGGTTTCTAGGAAACTACTTGTACCAATACATTTCACCACACCCTTTTCTTTTAGCTGCCCCCGCCAAGCAGTAACAACACTAGTTGCCATTGCTGAATGTCCAGCAGTGTTCCAATACTGAATCATTCTTGCAATAACTCCTCATTAGAATAGCAGTGACATCATTTTACAAATGAATCTAAGGCTCAGCTGAAATTAACACAGCTGGATAAAGTCCACATTTAAAACCAGGGCTGTCCAATTCTAAGTTCCATTCCAGAACATGCCTATATATTCCAAGAACAAAATGTAAATAATTTGACAATCTATCTTCAAGATGTATTTTATGATAAATAGCCAGCCAAATGAAAACAACTACTGCCCTCTGTAAATACCATCCCGGAACAATCACAACCTCCCTACCCTCTAAAACATAAGTTAGCAGAACAGAAGACAAGCATCAGTTAGTACTGAAAGGAGGGGGGAAAAAAAAAGATAAAGTCAATGTGGCATAATATACATTATAATCTCAATGACTAGTAGGTGCCTTATAAACCAATTTACCTGAATTCCTTTAAATCCACATAGGAAATAGTGGTGCCATAGAGGTTTGGTTTTGTCAATACAAATGTGATTGGCACTAGTGCTGAAGTCCCTGAAAAACAAGACACATTAATGTCCATCTGTAAACTTTGAAAGGCAAAATTAATGGCTGACTGCTGCCCTCTTCTGACAAAGCAGTGGGACTGACTCTCCTTTTCCATTTACTTTCAATACATGGACCTCAGTCTCCCACAAGAGTGAACATCACCAGCAGCTAGAAGTTAAGAGTGGTAGTTGTAGTGACCTTAGTGATTAAACTACCTCTAATTGACCCTTTTTACTTCCTAAAACAAACAGGAAACAATATAGTTTAGCATAATCTACATCCATTTTCTCTTTCATGCTGGTCCTTGAAGCCAGTGTAAACCACATAAATGCTTTACCCTCTGGGCCTGCTGCTGGCAGCTTCCCAGTTGAAACAGGTACACCCAAAGTCATCTTTCCCCACACTCTCTGTCACCCATCTAAACTGACCATCTGCATGATTTAAAAAAAAAGATAACAAGCAAAATTAATTTATTCTACAGGATCCTAGCCTATTGGGAAAAAAAATAAGATCTCATGAGTCTATGTTGATATAAATTAATAAGTGACTAACTAAATGAAGTAAAAGGGAAAATTACTTCATACACTAAGTAAAAAGTTATTATTACATGAGATGGTTCAGTGGGTAAAGGCACTTGTCACGCAGGCCCAACAGCCAGAATTTGATCCCTGGAACCCACGTAAAGGTGGCAGGACAGAACTCACTCCACAAAGTTGTCACCTGACTTCCACATACATTCTATAGAATGCATGCCCACAAATGCACATCATATATACACACTAATAATAAATAAAATACCAATTAACACATGTAAAAGAAATAATGGAAACTAAAAAGTTATTATTACACATGATTTCCATAATTGTTTCGGAAAAGAATCATCAACAGATACTAAAATTAGAGAGTAAAGCTGGGCATGGTGGCATATGCCTTTAATCCCAGCACTTGGGAGGCAGAGGCAGGCGGACCTTTGTGAATTTGAGGCCAGCCTGGTCTACAGTGACTTCCAGGCCAGTTGGGGCTACAGGGAGACCCTGCCTCAAAAATAAAAAAATAAAAAACTTGGTAAAATTGTGATGAAAAACAAGATTATCTACATAGACTCAGTGTAGAAATTACTTTTCTAAAATGGACAGAAACTGGAATAATGACTTTAATTAACCCTGGCAAACTCACTGAACCATGTGCTCTTATGACCTGAGTACCTAATATTGTTTCCTGAAAACCTCGATTTCCCAGTGTCAAGATAGAGGATGAATGCGGGCATGCTTGAAAATTAATATATCAAAGCATGGAGAGACATTGTATTAGCTACTTCTCTGTTGTCATGATAAAACAACATGACTAAGGCTACTTATAGAAGGAAGATTTTATTGGGATTATGATTCCAGAAGGATTAGTCCATAATGGTGGAGGAGGCATGGTGGCAGAAGTAGCCAGAGCAGACAGCCAAGCAATCACATCTTCAAGCAGGCACAGGAATCAGAGAGCAACTGAAAATTTGGCAAGGCGTAAGAACTCCCAAAGTTGGCCCCCAGTGATGTTTCCTCCAGCAAGGCCATACCTCCTAAAACCTCCGAAAACAGGGCCACCAAGTGGGACAAAATGTCCAAATACTTGAAGCCTATGGGGAACATTCCCATTCAAACCACTGCCCCCATCTTCCTTGAAAACATAAAGATTGAGAAGGGATGCTTGACATTGTGTGTATAAGGCACTCTAGAACTAGAGATGAAAAGGCAGGATGATCTGATAAGATGACACTGGATTCAAGCTTGTACTTCCCCAACTGAAGTGGAAGAAACCATTTTGAATAAAATTATGGGTGAGGCCTGACTCAAGGACACAGCTCCAGACATAGTTCCAAGAGATATCTGGGGGAAAAGCTGCCCTCTGAGTTCGGGCCCACTCAAAAGCTAATGTTAAATAGTTGCTTTATTCCGGTTTAACTGTAATGTGGCATGGTAACATTGCATCTTAGTATTACCCCATCGCATTACCTGCAAGAAGAAAAAGAGTTACTTTATGTTTGAAAGCTACTGTCAGACACCACCTCAACCACAAAAGAGACATCACAGGCCTTTTTTTTAATTTTTAAAAATTTTTAAAAAATATTATTTTTATTTATGTGTATTTTTTATTTTATACATATATTTTTTTAATTTATTTTTTAGAAGCAT